TCAGGGAAGACTTTCCTAACCTTCATGACTCAGGTCAAAAGTGCTGAGTAAGCTCTCTAAGCTCCATTGTTTCTCTGCTCTGAGATGCTTAAATAATTACAGCAATTTTACATTCATTTGTGTTTTTGTGAATAATGTCTGCTTCCCCAAGTAGACTGCAAACTTCATCAGGATCAAGTTTTTAACTCATTATTTTATCTCCCAACACTAGAACAACTCCTGACAAACTGGCTTTCAAATATTTGTTGAATGATTGGAAACAAGGACTACAAACATTAAAGACTATAATAACATTCCAACTTTGACAGTCAGTATTACATTTCAACTTGATCAGGTTATGATCCCCAGTGGTTTGACATACATTGGACTGATTGCTGTTCCATGTTGTTGTTAGGTGTGGTCGAGTTGGCTCTGATTCATAGTGACCCTATGTACAACAGAATGAAACACTACTGGTCAGACCAAGGATGATACCCTTTTCCAAGGAATGGTCCCTTCTGACAACATTACCAAAGTAGGTAAGTTGAAGTCTGGCCACTCTCGCTTCCAAGGAGCATTCCAGTATTCCAGTTGCACTTCTTCCAGGACAGACTTGTTCGTTCTTCTGGTACTCTGCAGTACTTTCAGTATTCTTCATCGGCATCACAATTCAAAAGTATCAACTCTTTTTTGGTCTTCCTTAGTCATTATCCAGCTTTCACATGCACATGAGGCAACTGAAACTACCATGGCTTGAGTTAGACACACCTTAGTCTTCAAAGTGGCATATTTGCTCTTCAACACCTTGTTGTTGTCAGGTGCCATCAAGTTGGCTCTGACTCATAGTGACTCTGTGTACAACAAAATGAAACACTGCCCAGTCCTGTGCCAGCCTCATAATCCTTGCTATACCAGAGTCCATTATTGCAGCCATTATGTCAAGCCATCTTGTTGAGGGCTTTCCCCCTTTTTCACTGACCCTCCCTCCACTTAACCAAGCATGTTAGTCTTCTCCAGGAAGTTCCTTTTGACAACGTGGCCAAAGTAGGTGAGACGAAATCTGGCCATTCTCACTTCCAAGGAGCATTCTGGCTGCACTTCCTCCAGGACACATTTGTTAGTTCTTCTAGCAGTCCATGGTATTCTCAGTATTCTTTGCCAACACCACAATTCAAGGCATCAACTCTTCTTAGGTCTTCCTTAGTCACTGTCCAGCTTTTACATGCATATGAGGCGAATGAAAATACCATGGCTTGGGTTAGTTACATCTTTGTCTTCAAAGTGACATCTTTGCTTCTAAACACTTTAAAGAGGTCTTTTGCAGCAGATTTGCTCAGTGCAATACAACACATGATTTTTTGACTACTGCTTCCACTGGTGTTGATCGTGGATTCCAGTAAAATGAAATTGCTAAAAACTTCAATCTATTTTCCATTTATCATGTTGGTTACTGGCCCAGTTATAAGGATTTTTGTTTTCTTTATGCTGCAGTGTAATTCACATGCAGACCGTAGTCTTTGATTTTCATCAGTAACTGCTTCTAGTCATCTTTACTTTCAGCAAGCAAGGCTGTATCATCTGTACATTGTAGTTTGTGAATAAGCCTTCTTCCAATCCTGATGTGACATTCTTCATATAGTCCAGCTTCTCCAATTATTTGCTCAGAGTACAGATTAAATGAATATGGTGAAAGAATACAATCCTGATGCACTCCCTTGCTCATTTTAAACTAGGCAGTATCCCCTTGTTTTGTCTGAACAACAGCCTGTTGGTCTGTGGACAGGTTCCTCATGAGCATAATTAATTGTTCTGGAATTCCCATTCTTTGCAATGCTACCCATAATTTGTTATGATCCACACAGTTGAATGTCTTTGCATGGTCAGTAATAACAAGTAAACACCTTTCTGATATTCTTTGCTTTCAGCCAAGATCCATGTGACATGAGCATATCCCTCATTTCATGCCCTCCTCTGAACCCAGCTTGAATTTCTCAAAGTTCTCTGTCAAAATACTGCTGCAACAATTTTTTAATTATCTTCAGCAAAATTTTACTTGGATGTGATATTAATAATATTGTTCAATAACTTCCACATTCTGTTTGATCATCTTTATTTGGAATGAGCACAAATATCTATTTCTTCCAGTCATTTGTCTTGCTAGCTGTCTGCCAAATTTCTTGGCACAAATGAGTAAATGCCTCCATCACTGCATCCAATTGTTGATACATCTCAATGGGTAGCCAGTCAATTCCTGGAGCCTTGTTTTTCTTTAGTGCAGCTTAGACTTTTTCCTTCAAAGGTTACATGTCAACCAATTCTTCTAAACTCGTGGAATATACACGGAAAATTGGATGTTGTCAAAAATGAAATGGAATGCATAAAGATTGATATCCTAGGCATTATTAAGCTAAAATGGACTGGTATTGGCCATTCTGAATGGAACAATAACATGGGCTACTATACTGGGAATACAAACTGAAGAGGAATGGTGTCGCATTCACTGTTGAAAAGAACATTTCATGATCCATCCTGAAACACAATGCTGTCAGTGATAGGCTAATATTCATATGCCTTAGAAGACTAGTTAATAGTACTATTATTCAAATTTATGCACAAAGCACTAAAGCCAAACATGAAGAAATTGAAGACTTTTACCAACTTCTGCAGTCAAAATTGTCCAAACATGCAGTCATTACTGGTGATTGGAGTGCAAAAGTCAGAAACAAAGAAGCATCAGTAGTTGGAAAATAGGGACTTGGTGACAGAAATGACACTGGAAATTGCATGATAGGATTTTGCAAAACCAATGACTTATTTGTTGCAAATACTTTTTTTAACAACATATATGTGGACTTCGCCAGATGGAATACACAGGAATCAAACTGACTACTTATGTGGAAAGAGGTGATGGAGAAGCTCAATATCATCAGTCAGAACAAGGCCAGGAGCTGACTATGGAACAGACCATCAACTGCTCATATGCAAGTTCAAATTGAAACTGAAGAAAATGAAAACAAGTCCATGACAGCCAAAATATGACTTGGATTATATCCCACCTGAATTTATAGACCATCTGAAGAACAGCTTTGATGCACTTAACTTTTTATCTCTCAAGAGATAAAAAGGCGCTCTGGTAGCATAGTGGCTAAAGCACTTGACTGCTAACCAGAAGGCTGGTGGTTCAAACCCACCAGCCACTCCTCGGAAGGAAGGTTGGGCAATCCTACTTCCGTAGTGATACTGCCTTGGAAACCCAAGGAGGGGTCGCTATGAGTTGGGCCTCAACAGCACATACAACAACAACAAACAAGAGATAAAAAGAGCAGAAGGAGGGGCCACCTACTACCATCAAGGAACAGCCAGGAGCAGAGTATGTCCTCTGACCCAGGGTCACTGTGCTAGGATCCTCCTAGGACCAAGACACACAGAGAGAAAGGTTTCTCCTAAAGCTCGCATTCTGAATTAAGACTTCAAGCCTCCTAAACTGTTAAGAGAGTAACATTGTTTTTTTAAAACTATTCACTTTTAGTATTTCTGTTATAGCAGCAGTAAATAACCAAGGCAGTTACTATGAGTGGGAATCAACTTGATGGCAATGAGATAGCAAGTGACATATAAATGGAAGCCTGTCAGTGTGACCACCCTCTTCCATTTTCTCTCACTTCTTGTATTCAACTGTGACTTGATGCTTAGAGGTACATTATCTTGTTTCTATAAAACAACATGCTAAGAATGGCAGGGTAGAAAGAGAGAATACTGAGGATATCTGGATCCAATGTCCAAACTTCTTGTCCAGACTTCTTATTATGTGGCAAAAACACTCCTTTTGTTTAAACCACTATTACTTGCTCATAGCTGAAAGTATTTCTAAACAACACAGCAACGACAGGTTAGATCATCTCAAATGGAGAGTTCAGATATAATATTCTAAAGTTCTCATATTAAATAATCTAATTATCCAGGGAAGAATATTTTTCCACAACACCTTTGACTGACTATCCAGACTCTAATATACAATCTAAAGGCATCGTTATAATTAAGAAAACTATCACAGCTTTGGTAGCATAGTGGCTAAGGCACTTGACTGCTAACCAGAAGGCTGGCGGTTCAAACCCACCAGCCACTCCTCGGAAGGAAGGTTGGGCAATCCTACTTCCGTAGTGTACTGCCTCGGAAACCCAAGGAGGGGTCGCTATGAGTCGGGGCCGACTTGACGGCAAATAACAACAACAACAACAACAACATCACAGCTTTATTTACTCTCCCCATTCTTTATGGACATTTTCATTCAACTGGAGAGTGGACTCTGTTAAGTTCAAGTTCACAAGGTTTAATTAAAATGAGGATAGCCTATGGAAACTCCACATTTAAAAAGACCATATTACCTTACACACAGAATTTTTAAACTAATAAATTTAACCACATTTTGGTTTAGGAAAGTCAAAAAGACTTAAGTGTATTCATTCTTCCATTGCCCTATCCTTTTATCTTAACTTACCAATTTAGGAATGAGAAAACACCTGCTTAAATATGAAGGAAATACACCTTCTGTGAAAGTCACTAATAGAGGCTAACCAAGAGAAGCCAGTTTAGTGCTGCGGGCCATCATCCTTTCCACAGTGAGGAGCACTGCTGGAAAAAGAACTGTCTCTAAGGTTGAACAAATATAAAAAGAAATATAAGAGGCCAGTAAAGCACTTCCCCATATGGGTCATCCTCTTTTGCCTTATACCTAACTCATTTTAAGAAAACTGTAGGGGCATGAAACATCAATAAATATTGACTGAGATTCCAGTTATAGTAAGGAACTAGAACAGACAAGCAAATGGTTCAGTGATTAATTATGAATAGAGCAGGAGGATACTGTATAAGTAATACAATAAATATAATACAAAAGCAGCTAATTTCCATTTTTTCTATTAAGCAATGTTATCTCTAATCATGCAAATAATAACCTAATTGGAAATGGACTGATACTCTATTATGCTTTGGTAAATTTTTCATTCAACCTACCAATGTGCGTTGGGTTGTTGGTGGCTGTAGCCAGGGATCCAGTGTGATTTCGCATGAGATTGTCTTGGGTTGACTGAAGACCTGGAGCTGACCATGATAGAGTACTGTATCCTGAAAGACTCTGCTGCTGCTGCTGTTGTGATAGTGGTGGGAGTGGTGATGGTTGACTGATAGGTGTATTTTGACCAGAAAATGAATTATCTTTAACTGGCCTGATAGTGGGAACATTCTGTGAGGTAAACACTTGCCCATATGGATCACCGGCAGGCAGAGAGGGATATGAAACACTAGGATACGCAGCATTAGAAACAGTTGATACACCATAATTACCACAAGTAGAGGGAAATCCCTGAGAAGCAACAGAAGAGTTGGCAGAGTACATGGCTGGATTACTGTAGTGATTCACAAAAGAGTATGGCTGGTAGGCACTCGTATGCAAATGGGATGCTGATGATGCAGCACCTTGGAAAGATCCTGAAGTAGATCCTACAATATGCGGGGCAGGCGGGCCCCTACCATATATCTGCTGTGCTCCCGGTTGTTGGTTCACTGGGCTAGAAGTCATCGCACTTTGTGTTGGTACTGGATAGAGACCAGAGTAGTAATCACCACACTGGCTATCCGATGGCAATGAGGTCATTTTCCCAGGTCCTTGAGAGTGATGTCCTGAGGGAGTAATATAGTTTTGAGGATGCAGTCCATACCCAGATGAAACTTGCATTTGACTCTGTGCTGGACCTGAAAAAGAAAAAGAAGTATTTAGTGGGACTGGTTCACACGCTCACTCACTCACTGCCATCGAGTTGATTCAACTCATAGAGACTCCTCCTTGGGTTTCCGAGGCGTTATCTCTACAGAAGCAGATTGCCCAATCTTCCTTCTGAGGAGTGGCTGGTGGAGTTGAACCGCCAGCCTTCTGGTCAGCAGTCAAGTGCCTTAGGCACTATGCTACCAGAGCAGAGGTGATGGTATATCACTTCCAAGATTAATGGAAAAAAAACAACAAAAAGAGACTGTGGTATCACTTTTGGACTCTGGCTTTTTCTCCTATTACTCAGTCTGGGGGAAGTAAGCTGCCATAATTTGAGCAGCCCTTTAGAGAAAGAAGCCTGTGCTCTGAGGAAATGAACTTTATGGCAAAGAGCCAGAGAAAAACAACACTCACTGCTTGCCAACAATCCTAAGAGTGGCACTGGAAGCAGAGCATTCAAACTCAGTTGAGTCTTGAAATGACCACAGCCCCAGCTAATAGCCTGAATCTCCCAAGACACACTAAGCCAAAATCACCCAGCTAGGATGTTCCTGAATTACTGTCTCTCAAAAACTATGAGAAACAGTTCTTTAAGTTGCTAAGTTTTGGTGTATTTTGTTATACTGTGATAAATAACCTATATACTCAGTCTAGAAGGAGTTCAAATAGTTTTTTAGCTTTTGTTAAAAATAAAAAATACTATAATAATTACAATAACAACAACATAATAATAATAATATACCTATTGTAAAATGAACAAAAAACAAAACTGTGGTGTTGGCTAAGAATACTTAATATATCGTGGCCTGCCAGAAGAACAATTAAATCAGTTTCAGAAGACGACATCATGGTTGGTAAAGCAGAGGGCCAAAGAAAAAACAAGGGAAATCAATGATACTGATCAACACAATACTGATCAACTCAATGTTTGACATTGGACTCAAACATACCAATGATTATGAAGCTGTTGCAGGATAGGGCAGTTCCATTTTGTTATGCATAAGATGCATAAGGTCACTGTGAGTCAGGGCTGACTCAACTGCAACTGACAGCAGCAACACTAACAACAAAAATTCAAATAATTAAGAGTATAAAGTAAAAAGTAAAAGTTCCTCTTTCTCACTGGTAGCTGACATCCTATTTCCAGAGTAGCTGCAATTAAGTTTCTTGTGTATCCTTTGGGAATTTTTAATGCATATACAGGTATGTGTCGCTTAACTTCAGTTTGGGCAATGTTGGTCCTAGTGCATATATGTCCATCGTCGCATAAAGGGCTTTTCTAATTTTTAAAATAGAAAGTAATTCTCCTTTTGTTTATTATTCCTCCCTAATAATGCCTAACGCACTTCACTGCTAAACAGAAGGCTGGAGGTTCAAACCCATCCGCTACTCCTCAGAAGAAAGGTTGGGCAATCTACTTCTGTAGTGATACCGCCTCAGAAACCCGAAGAGGGGTCATTAGCAGCAGGATCCAACTCCACGGCAATGAGTCAATAGTGCTTAAGGCACCTGACTGCTAACCAGAAGGCTGGTGGTTCCAAACCCATCAGCCACTCCTCAGAAGGTTAGGCAATCTACTTCTGTAGTGATTACCACCTCAGAAACCCAAGGAGGGGTCGTTATGAGTCAGGTCTCTGATTCGATGGCAGATAACAACAACAATATTTTTGAAGACCCCCAAAGCCCCAGAGTGCAGGAGCAGTGGGGCTCCAAGGTGTATACCACTCCCCACAGTGCCTCTGCCTTTTCCTCTTCCTTCCCTTCCTCCTGACTTCATCCACCCACCCAGAAGCCAGGCAGCCTTTCACTCCCACAACAGGCCAATGCCTGCTCATCTGGGGTGCTTGCAGGCTCCTGGCTCTAGGGAGCAGTGGCTATATTCGACCAGGAAGCAGCTGGATCAATAGGGCAGCGACAAGCAGGGCCACCACTGCAAGCCACATTGCTGACACTCACAACCTGCTCCCCATCACCCCACTTTACACCTTTTCCCCCCTGCACCTAGATGTGTGCAAAATCCCAATCCAGATGTGGATACAGCTTTCAGGCTTTGTCTGCTGGGCTCCCACAGGTTTTAGTACAATAGGGGTTCATGGGGATTTAACTACAGATTGTACAGGGACTTCCTGTATATAACATGGTATTCACACAATATCCAAATCGCATAACATCCTATTTCACAGAATGTATTGTGGATAGTCTAGTGATGTAGTGTCTAAGGCATTTGACTGTTAACCAGAGGCTGGCGGTTCAAACCCACCAGCCACTCCTCGGAAAGAAGACTGGACAATCTATTCCTTAGAGATACCACCTTGGAAACCCAAGGAGGGGTTGCTATGAGTTGGCATCGACTCAACGGCATTGAGTTTTTTTTTATTATGGGCAGTGACGCATACCTATACATAAGCATATAAAAGTATTGCAGGGCAGTGAATTACTTAATATGGTCCTTGTAGGCATAGTCTTTGTGACTCCCACACAATGACTGGATTGGACTATGCAAACAAAGTGTCTGTGGCCTACCAGAGATTGGACAGCTTGCTGCTAATGCAAATAAGGAGCATAGAACCTTTGGGGGGACATGCAAATAGGGTGCACAGAACCCTAGTGAGAGGATTGATCAGTTTCGTCATCCCACGATGCTTAAAGGGAGGCATGGGGAGAGAGAGAAAAGAGCTATAACAAGGAAGACAGAGACAGTGGTGCAGTAGTAGCAAGAGCAATGCAAGTGACAGCAGGAGACTAGTTGTAGACAGCGGTGGTGGGACTTGCTGACCCACTGAATTAAGAGCTGTGATAAATGCCTGATGAGGCTCTGAGAAGAGCCCAGCAGCAGAGGTGAGAAGAAGCTGTTGTGATCAAGAACTGTCCCTGAGTTGTTCCTATTACTTTTGAGTCATTCCTGATTCTGAGTTGTACCCTGTTATTCCCCTGATAAACCACTTCACTATAAGTACGTTTATTAGGTCTTTGAGACCATGCAGCAAACTACCGAACCCAAAGACTACAGGGTGAATAATGAGGGGAAAGGAAGTAGCTGATGTTAAGAAATGATGGAATGGTACAGCAGTTTAGAAAAGTTGGACATTTGGCACATCTTTAACCTCTGCCTCACAGGCCATCACCTTTACGCTGATCCTTATAAAAGAAATTACTCATTTAAGTACATACACACTTTTAAAATAACAACAACACATAAATAGGATCATACTATAGGAGCTCTGGTAGCATAGTGATTAAGGCACTTGACTGCTAACCAGAAGGCTGTTGGTTCAAACCCACCAGCCACTCCTCGGAAGAAAAGTTGGGCAATCCTACTTCCGTAGTGATAACGCCTCGGAAACCCAAGGAAGGGTCGCTATGAGTCGGGGCCGACTCAACGGCAAATAACAACAACATAGGAGCTCTGGTAGCATAGTGCCTTAGGCACCTGACTGCTAACCAGAAGGCTGGTGGTTCAAACTCACCAGCTACACTTCAGAAGGAAAGTTGGGCAGTCTACTTCAGTGTTGATACTACCTCGGAAACCCAAGGAGGGGTCACTATCAGTTGGGTCCAACTCGATGACACACAACAATAACATCATCAACATGGTTCTGCAACTTGCTTTATTTATGATATCCTAGAGACCCCTCCTTGGGTTTCCAAGGCGGTATCAACAATGAAGTAGACTGCCCAATCTTCCTCCTGAGGAATGGCTGATGGGTTTGAACCGCCAGCTTTCTGGTTAGCAGTCAAATGACTTAGGCACTACACCACCTCGTCCGTACTATCATATATAAAATCTTCATCATTCTATTTAAAAATCTACACAGTACTTCATTGCACAGGTACAATATTATTTACTAAATATCCAGTGATAAATATTTACTTCAGGAGGTGAACAAAGAGAGAGAGTGAGTGAATTCTGTAATGAATCTATAGGATAAGTTCCTTAACGTGAAACTGGAGGTTCCAAAGGTTTGTGCTGTTAAAACTATTATTGCCAAATATCTCACCAAAAAATCTATTAATTTGTATCTCCCATCAATAATGCTTAAGAATGCCTCATTTTCCCAAAAGTGAACATCATCAAATATTTTAAATCTTGCCAATCTGGTAAGTGACAAATGGTTTAGTCTCCAGTATTGAACTGTGGGTGATACCCAGAGAACCTACTCAAATATTGCAAAAAGGGCAAGGAGGCCACAGGTTTCAACCTCCTCTAATCCCACAAGAGGAAGACAGAATCACCATCAATAGCCCAAGGCCTATTCCTGCCAGGCCAGACATGCTGCCTCCCTTCAGCCCTTT